CTGATGTGGGCATTGTCATGGCTTGCCTCGACATTTGCGTTTGAATAGCGCACGTCCTCCGTGGGCGTGTCAGATTAACGTGTAATGAGCTGGGAAAAAAATACTGACAGCACTCTCTTTTCATACAGATTGCATAAACTGAGAATATTTGTTTTTTATATAAATTACTTCATTTAAAAGAAGAGAATTCAAGCTTCATAAAGAAAAATCTCTCGTGCCTGTGTGAAGTAATCGCGGAGTTACAGTTAATCTTAGGACGCGTTTCAGAATGGACTTCACTGACAGAGAGAACGCTGAACTCGCATCATGTTTGTTTTTCTTTATTTGGTGAAAAGCACAACACTTTGTTTTTATTGTGAGTATCCACAAAAAAAATAGAAACTTAACAGGATCTAATGATGTATCACACTTATATGTAAGATCAAAATCAACCAAGTATTTTGAGTCTCTTTTGCACTGATAAGAAAAAAAGCGAGACAATCGCGCCGGCGCGATAGCCGACCCCAGGGGGTTAAAATAGTCTTCAAAAGAACCTTTCGAACCACTTAATGCTGGAAAAATCTCTCCAACCCCAACCTCACCGTCCTCAGCGCCCCTCCGAAACCCGGCATCTTCACCGCGCTGCTCCCCAAATAGCTCGCCTTTCCAAGCACCCATCTCCAAACTGGTTCCGGTAGCCGACTCTGCACCCATCGCAACCATGCCATCATCCATGCAAAGGTAAAGTATATTATTAGACATGCTGATATTTGCCTCCATATCACTGCTTGCAGCTCGCACCCGTTCAACAGCGATGTTACGTTCAGACAAGTAAGATCCGGAATCCAAAACTCGACCCTCGTTCAAGCCAGGACAAACTACCCCATTAGGACCTGGACAAGGATGAATATCACCTAACAATAACAAGCATAAGATGATAATGAAATTTCCGACGTTGGGATGGTGTTTAGAGATGGAGGGCCTGGACGAGTGTAGATGTAATAGGGAAAAAATAATACGTTGTCCATAACCAATAGGCACCACGTCGCAACGTTCTTCAGGTAAAAAATTAAAACACTGCTTCTTATCATTTACATTACATTTACATTTTAGTCATTTAGCAGACACTTTTATCCAAAGCGACTTACATCTGAGGACTAAAGCAAGCGAGTCATCGTGAAGAGGGAAGAACGACGCAAGAAGTGCTCAAAATACAAAGTTCAGGCATTGCTCAGAGTAGCAAAAGCCAGACAAGGGAAGATTTAAAAGGGAAGGAAAGATTTAAAAGAGGAGAATTTTTTTTTTATTTTAAAAAAAATAAAATTATATTAAGTACTCACGGAAGAGATGAGTTTTCAGTTGTCTTTTGAATGCTGTCAGGGATTCTGCATTACGGACGAGGGTGGGGAGATCATTCCACCAGCATGGAACCGTGAATGAGAATGTTCTGGAGAGCGATTTAGTGCCTCGCTGTGATGGCACCACGAGCCGTCGCTCCTTGGCCGATCGTAGGCTTCTGGTAGGGACGTAGACTTACATTTACATTTACATTTATTCATTTAGCAGACGCTTTTATCCAAAGCGACTTACAAATGAGAACAATAGAAGCAGTTAAACTAACAGTAGGACAACAATACGTAAGTGCTATAACCCCTCTCAGTTTAATTTTAGTGCAGTTTTTTTTTTTTTTTATAGAATAGAAGAGAAAGTGTTAATTCTACTGAATCAAGTGCTGCCGAAAAAGATATGTCTTCAGCAGATTCTTGAAAGTGGCTACTGACTCAGAAGCTCTGGTTGAGTTAGGCAGATCATTCCACCAACAGGGAACAGCCATGGTAAAGGTCCGAGAAAGAGATTTTGTGCCTCTTTGAGATGGTACCACAAGACGACATTCGCTAGCAGAGCGCAGGTTTCTGGATGGCACATAAGTCTGAAGTAATGAGTTTAGGTAAGAGGGAGCAGTGCCAGTGGTTGTTCTGTAGGCAAACGTCAGTGCCTTGAATTTAATGCGAGCGGCAACTGGCAACCAGTGCAATTGTGTGAGGAGAGGAGTGACGTGTGCTCTCTTCGGCTCATTGAAGACTACTCTGGCTGCAGCATTCTGGATCAATTGTAGAGGTTTGACAGAGCAAGCTGGAAGAACAGCCAGCAGCGCATTACAATAGTCCAGTCTGGATAAAACAAGTGCTTGGACAAGGAGTTGTGTGGCATGCTCTGTAAGGAAGGGCCTGATCCTCCTAATGTTGTGCAAGGCAAATCTGCAGGACCGGGCAGTTCTAGCAATGTGGTCTGTGAATTTCAACTGATCATCAATTACAACCCCAAGGTTCTTAGCTGACCTTGATGGAGTTATGGATGACGAGCCTAGCTGAATGGAGAAGTTGTGATGAAGTGTTGGGTTGGCCGGGACCACAAGTAGCTCTGTCTTCGCAAGGTTTAGTTGAAGGTGGTGGTCCTTCATCCAGCCAGAGATGTCTGTCAGGCAGGCTGAGATACGAGCAGCTACCGTCGGATCGTCAGGCTGGAATGAGAGGTAGAGTTGCGTGTCATCAGCGTAGCAATGATAGGAAAAGCCATGTTTCTGAATCACAGATCCTAGTGATGTCATGTAGATGGAGAAGAGGAGTGGTCCAAGCACTGAGCCCTGAGGCACCCCAGTAGCTAGATGTTGGGTCTTAGATGCCACACCTCTCCACGACACCCTAAAGGACCTACCTGAGAGGTAAGACTCGAACCATTGGAGTGCAGTTCCCGAGATGCCCTTCATCTTTAGGATTGACAGGAGGATCTGGTGGTTAACTGTGTCAAAAGCAGCAGACAGATCCAGCAGGATGAGGACTGAGGATTTGGAAGCTGCTCTTGCCAGTCTCAGAGCTTCAATTACTGAGAGCAGGGCAGTTGAGTTGAGTGTCCGCTTTTGAAACCAGACTGATTGTCGTCCAAGAGGTTGTTCTGTGTAAGAAAGGAGGAGATCTGGTTGAAAACAACTCGTTCAAGTGTTTTCGCGACAAATGGAAGAAGAGATACCGGTCTTGTAGTAGGGAGTGAAAGTAGGACGGAGCTGAGTCTGTGGTAGATCTGTAAGCAAGCGTCAAAGCTTTAAATTTGATGCGAGCAGCGAGTGGTAGCCAATGCAGGGAGATGAACAGAGGAGTGACGTGGGTCCTTTTGGGCTCGTTGAAGACCAGACGAGCTGCAGCATTCTGGATCATTTGTAGAGGTTTAGTAACACATGATGGAAGTCCAGCCAGAAGAGCATTGCAGTAATCAAGCCTAGAAATAACCAGGGCCTGGACGAGAAGTTGTGTTGCATGCTCAGTTAGGAAAGGCCTGATCTTCCTGATGTTATACATTGCAAACCTGCATGATCGAGCTGTCTTTGTAATGTGGTCTGTGAAGGTCAGCTGGTCATCAAATATTACTCCAAGATTTCTGACTGACCTTGATGGGGTGATTGAGGATGACTCTAGCTGGATAGTGAAGTCGTGCTGTAGAGATGGATTGGCAGGGAGGACGAGAAGCTCAGTCTTTGCCAGGTTGAGCTGCAGGTGATGTTCCTTCATCCATGCCGAGATGTCCGCCAGACAGCTTGAGATACGTGCAGCTACTGTGGGATTATCTGGTTGAAATGAGAGGTAGAGCTGGGTGTCATCAGCATAGCAATGGTAAGAGAAACCATGTGCCTGTATGATGGGTCCCAATGATGTGGTGTAGATGGAGAAGAGGAGTGGTCCAAGAACTGAACCCTGAGGAACCCCTGTGTTCAGTTGATGTGCTTTGGATACCTCGCCTCTCCATGTAACCCTGAAGGACCTACCTGTAATCAGTAAAAACTTTGCCTGATGGACACAAATTACATAAAAGAATAAACGTAAAAACCGGGGTCACAATGCCAAATGCACCTGCCGCCATACTTCCGGGTTACTTACTTGTTTGAGTTCGATGGACGAGTCTGGGTTTGGCGGTTGCCAGGAGAATGGTACTTGTCCGACTGCATTGTGCCAAGTCTAATGTTTGGTGGAGGGGGGATTATGGTGTGGGTTTGTTTTTCAGGGGTTGGGATTGGCCCCTTAGTTCCAGTGAAAGAAACTCAATGTTTCAGCATACCAAGAAATTTTGGACAATTCTATGCTCCCAACTTTGTGGGGACAGTTTGTGGATGTTCCTGTTCCAACATGACTGCGCACAAGTGCACAAAGCAGGTCCATAAAGACATGGTTGAGGAGTTGGTGTGGAGGAACTTGACTGGCTGCACAGAGTCCTGAGCTCAACCCGATAGAACAGCTTTGTGATGAATTAGAGCGGAGACTGAGAGCTTCTCGTCCAACATCAGTGCTGGACTTCACTAATGCGCTTCTAGAAGAATGGTCAAAAATTCCCATAAACACAGTCCTAAACCTTGTGGAAAGCCTTCCCAGAAGAGTTATAGTTGCAAACAGTGTGCCAACTCCATATTAAACCTTATGGATTAAGAATGGGATGTTATTAAAGTTCATGTGCTTAGGCATATGTCCCAAAACTTTTGGCAATATAGTGTATTTCACGCATCACATTATATATTGTCATGTTCTCATGATGAGATTCATTAAACAACATGCTCACGTTCTCAACATCCTAACGTGTGTGTGTGTGTGTGTGTGTGTGTGTGTGTGTGTGTGTGTTTAGACACAGAAAGGCTATGACTGGCATTTGGGAAGATGGTTAGAAAGGAAGGAAGACCAGCAGTACCCTGGGAGCCCATGTGATGTCATCAAGGCCAACTCCCATGATCCCGCTGGAAGGATCGAGGCTGCAGGTCAGCAGGATTGCTATAGTAACCCATCCGACAGCGGGAGAGTGGCCGGTGGCAGACAGACTGTGGGAAACATGTGCACGCATGGGAATCTGCCATTAGGAAGCACATGCGTGGAAATTTCCCAGCATGCTGAAAATGCCTCCACGCGCAGATCGAAACACAAGAGAGAGAAAACGTCACGTGACACAAAGCAGAAGAAAACAACAACAACAACAACAACAACAACAATAGAAAACAACATCAGCAAACAAACATGCGGGAAACCGCTGCTGCTGGTAAAGATCCAGCTGAACCTGCTCTCCAGAATCCCTCAGGAGCCTAAAGCAGCCCGACACCGGACCGGCCTGACGTTCTCCAGAATCCCTCAGGAGCCCAGAATCCCTCAGGAGCCCAGAATCCCTCAGGAGCCCAGAATCCCTCGGGAGCCCAGAATCCCTCAGGAGCCCAGAATCCCTCGGGAGCCCAGAATCCCTCGGGAGCCCAGAATCCCTCAGGAGCCCAGAATCCCTCGGGAGCCCAGAATCCCTCAGGAGCCCAGTATCCCTCGGGAGCCTAAAGCAGCCCAACACCGGACCGGCCTGACCACCGCATGCAAGAGAACCGTGAGACCAACCTTCAACCTTTTCACCCTGAATGATCATCGGTCGGAGAATGTTTGACCTTGTTGCAGAGCAGTAGATGTGAACAGCAACCATTTCAAAATATCTTTTAGAATCAGATGTTCCCATGATTTTAGTGTGTGTGTGTGTGTGTGACACTGTGTGTGTGTGTGTGTCTGTGTGTGTATTTGCAGGCCGAGAGCGATGAAAAGTTTCCAAATAAGAAACAGAAACTGGACGTAGAGGGAAAAAAGTTTTTCTCCTCTCAGCAGAGCCTCCACCAAAAAGAGTGAGTCTCCGTCAGAATCAGAAACCCATCAGCCAATCAGATCTTCTGCTTATTTAAAAATGTTTTTTGATGCTGCACACAAAGATAATCACCTCATCTCCAAAATGAATTCAACACAAGATCACTCAACTTTCTTTCCATAAAAATAGAAATGTATATAAATTATATAAATGATTTGTGAAAAGGCCTTTCTCATGTTTCTATTATTTACTACCCTGAACAAAATTATTTGCTGAAGTCAAAGATCTAAGACTTTTTCTATGTACACAAAGGGCCTATTTCTCTCAAATATTGACTAACCCACCGGCCTCACAACCACAGACCACGTGTAACCACACCAGCCCAGGACCTCCACATCCAGCATCTTCACCTCCAAGATCGTCTGAGACCAGCCACCCAGACAGCGGCTGCAACAATCGGTTTGCAGAACCAAAGAGTTTCTGCACAAACTGTCAGAAACCGTCTCAGGGAAGATCATCTGCATGCTCGTCGTCCTCATCATACCGTAACGAGATCCTGAGGTCCATTCATCCATGACCATCGCCTCATGTTGCAGCATGATAATGCAAGGCCTCCATGTTGGAGGATCTGTACACAATTTCTGGAAGCTAAAAACATCCCAGTTCTTGCATGGCCAGCATACTCACCGGACATGTCCCCCATTGAGCATGTCACCCACAATCAACAGCCTGATCAACTCTATGCGAAGATGTGTTGCACTGCGTAAGGCAAATGGTGGTCTCACCAGATACTGACTGGTGTGACCCCCCCCCCCCCAATACAGTAAAACTGCACATTTTAGAGTGGCCTTTTATTGTGGCCAGCCTAAGGCACACCTGTGCAATAATCATGCTGTCTATCAACATCTTGATATGCCACACCTGTGAGGGGGATGAATTATCTCGGCAAAGGAGAAGTGCTCACTAACACAGATTTAGACAGATTTGTGAACAATATTTGAGAGAAATAGGCCTTTTGTCTACATAGAAAAAGTCTTAGATCTTTGAGTTTAGCTTATGAAAAATGGGGGCAAAAACAAAAGTGTTGCGTGTATAATTTTGTTCAGTGTACAAAGTTTTCCAGGCTTCAGTATATTTGACAAATCAGACCTGATGTCAAGTGTCCTGTACATAATAACAATAATAGCAATAGTTATGATGATGATGATGATTATGAAGATGATGAGGGAACTACAGGTCAACTTGATCCACAATCCTGACAGTCTTCATGTTCCAACACTAGACTGTAGTTTTAGCATTTCAGACTGTACAAATGTCAGGATTGTACTGTGTGTATGTGCATCTTTCTTTGCAGAATATCAAGTGTCATGTTTATTGTGATCTAATGCAGTGACTTTCAGACATTCATACATGAGACGTTAGCGTTAGCATTGGCGTCCAGTACTTATCTGAAGCTGGACGGAAAGTACTTGAAGTCCCTGTTGACTCTGATCATCTGATCTCTCACTCAAACATCTCCATGTTTCCATCAGAGCCTCTAAGAGCAGCGAGACCATGATGATGATGAAGAAGAAGAGGAAGAAGAGCACGAAACACGGCTCCAGTGTTCCTCCGGAGACGCGGCGAGACGCGGGACACAAGCGCCGATCTGACAGCCAGCTCAGGAAAGCAGAGGCTCATGGGAAGGTACTGTAGATCGTTTTCATGTTCAGGTCATTGTGGCGTGACTCGTAAAGAAGTGTGTTTATTAAGCAGAAACACTGCAAGAGCCGCAGCGTCTTCCCAGAGGAACCTCGTCCCCCGACCGCTGAAGCCCACAGGTGCGTCACACACACACGCCACACACATCACTCACGTCACTCACTTCACACACGTCACACAAGTCACTCACGTCACACGACACTCGCATCACACACGTCACACACGTCACTCACGTCACACACATCAATCACGTCACTCGCGTCACACACGTCACTCACGTCACACGACACTCACGTCACACACGTCCCACACGTCACACGCGTCACACACATCACATCAATCACGTCACTCGCGTCACACACCTCACGTCACACGTCAATCACGACACTCACGTCACACACGTCACACGCGTCACACACATCAATCACGTCACTCGCGTCACACACGTCACTCACGTCACACGTCAATCACGACACTCACGTCACACACGTCCCCCACGTCACACGCGTCACACACATCACACACGTCCCTCGCGTCACACACGTCACACACGTCACTCACGTCACACGCGTCACACACATCAATTACGTCACTCGCGTCACACACGTCCCTCGCGTCATACACGCCAATCACGTCACTCGCGTCAATCACGTCACTCGCGTCACACATGTCCCTCACGTCACACATGTCACTCACATCACACACATCAATCACGTCACTCGCGTCACACACATCAATCACGTCACTCGCTCCCTCGGGTCACTCACATCACACACGTCCCTCACATCACACACATCAATCGCGTCACTCGCGTCACTCGCGTCACTCGCGTCACTCGCGTCACTCACGTCACACGACACTCACGTCACACACGTCCCACACGTCACACGCGTCACACACATCACATCAATCACGTCACTCGCGTCACACACCTCACGTCACACGTCAATCACGACACTCACGTCACACACGTCACTCACGTCACACGCGTCACACACATCAATCACGTCACTCGCGTCACACACGTCACTCACGTCACACGTCAATCACGACACTCACGTCACACACGTCCCCCACGTCACACAGATCACACACGTCCCTCGCGTCACACACGTCACTCACGTCACACGCGTCACACACATCAATCACGTCACTCGCGTCACACACGTCCCTCGCGTCATACACGCCAATCACGTCACTCGCGTCAATCACGTCACTCGCGTCACACATGTCCCTCACGTCACACATGTCACTCACATCACACACATCAATCACGTCACTCGCGTCACACACATCAATCACGTCACTCGCTCCCTCGGGTCACTCACATCACACACGTCCCTCACATCACACACATCAATCGCGTCACTCGCGTCACTCGCGTCACTCACGTCACACACGTCACTGGCGTCACACAGATCAATCACGTCACTAGCGTCACTCGGGTCACTCACTTCACACGCGTCACACAAGTCACTCGCGTCACACGTCAATCACGACACTCGCGTCACACACGTCCCCCACGTCACACACGTCACTCACGTCACACACATCAATCACGTCACTCGCGTCACACACGTCCCCCACGTCACGCACGTCACTCACGTCACACACATCAATCACGTCACTCGCTCACTCGCGTCACTCACGTCACTCACGTCACTCGCTCACTCGCGTCACTCGCTCACTCGCGTCACTCACGTCACTCGCTCACTCGCGTCACTCACGTCACTCGCTCACTCGCGTCACTCACGTGACTCGGGTCACTCGCGTCACACACGTCCCCCTCGTCGCACTTGTCGCTCACGTCACACACATCAATCACGTCACTCGCGTCGCACACATCAATCACGTCACTCGCTCACTCGCGTCACTCACGTCACTCGGGTCACTCACGTCACACACGTCCCTCACATCACACACATCAATCGCGTCACTCGCGTCAATCACGTCACTCGCGTCACACATGTCCCTCACGTCGCACATGTCACTCACGTCACACACATCAATCACGTCACTCGCGTCACACACATCAATCACGTCACTCGCTCCCTCGGGTCACTCACATCACACACGTCCCCCACATCACACACATCAATCGCGTCACTCGCGTCACTCGCGTCACACACGTCACTCGCGTCACACAGATCAATCACGTCACTAGCGTCACTCGGGTCACTCACTTCACACACGTCACTCACTTCACACGCGTCACACAAGTCACTCGCGTCACACGTCAATCACGACACTCGCGTCACACACGTCCCCCACGTCACACACGTCACACACGTCACTCACGTCACACATCAATCACGTCACTCGCGTCACACGCGTCACTCACGTCACACGCGTCACACAAGTCACTCACGTCACTCACGTCACACACGTCACACGCGTCACACAGATCAATCACGTCACTAGCGTCACTCGGGTCACTCACTTCACACACGTCACTCACTTCACACGCGTCACACAAGTCACTCGCGTCACACGTCAATCACGACACTCGCGTCACTCACGTCACACGACACTCACGTCACACACGTCCCACACGTCACTCACGTCACACACATCAATCACGTCACTCGCGTCACACGCGTCACTCACGTCACACGCGTCACACAAGTCACTCACGTCACTCACGTCACACACGTCACACGCGTCACACAGATCAATCACGTCACTAGCGTCACTCGGGTCACTCACTTCACACACGTCACTCGCGTCACACACGTCACACGCGTCACACAGATCAATCACGTCACTAGCGTCACTCGGGTCACTCACTTCACACACGTCAATCACGTCACTCATTTCACACGCCTCACACAAGTCACTCGCGTCACACGTCAATCACGACACTCGCGTCACACACGTCCCCCACGTCACACACGTCACTCACGTCACACACATCAATCACGTCACTCGCGTCACACACGTCCCCCACGTCACGCACGTCACTCACGTCACACACATCAATCACGTCACTCGCGTCACACACGTCCCCCACGTCACACACGTCACTCATGTCACACACATCAATCACGACACTCGCGTCACACACGTCCCCCACGTCACACACGTCACTCATGTCACACACATCAATCACGTCACTCGCGTCACACACGTCCCCCACGTCACGCACGTCACTCACGTCACAAACGTCACACACGTCACACACATCAATCACGTCACACGCGTCACACAAGTCACTCACGTCACTCACGTCACAAACGTCACACACGTCACACGCGTCACACAGATCAATCACGTCACTAGCGTCACTCGGGTCACTCACTTCACACACGTCACTCACGTCACTCATTTCACTCGCGTCACACGTCAATCACGACACTCGCGTCACACACGTCACTCACGTCACACACGTCACTCACGTCACACACGTCACTCACGTCACACACATCAATCACGTCACTCACGTCACACACGTCACTCACGTCACACGCGTCACACAAGTCACTCGCGTCACACGTCAATCACGACACTCACGTCACACACGTCACTCACATCACACGCATCACACACATCAATCACGTCACACATCAATCGCGTCACACGTTACACATCAATCGCGTCACACACGTCCCTCGCGTCACATGCCAATCACGTCACTCGCGTCACACACGTCACTCACGTCACACGCGTCACACAAGTCACTCGCGTCACACACGTCCTCCACGTCACTCGCGTCCCTCACGTCACACACGTCACTCACGTCACACACGTCACACACATCAATCACGTCACACATCAATCGCGTCACACGTTACACATCAATCGCGTCACACACGTCCCTCGCGTCACATGCCAATCACGTCACTCGCGTCACACACGTCACTCACGTCACACGCGTCACACAAGTCACTCGCGTCACACACGTCCTCCACGTCACTCGCGTCCCTCACGTCCCTCACGTCACACACGTCACTCACGTCACACACATCAATCACGTCACTCCGTCACACACATCAATCACGTCACTCGCGTCACACACGTCCCTCGCGTCACTCGCATCACACACGTCACTCACGTCACTCACTTCACACGCGTCACTCGCATCACACACGTCACTCACGTCACTCACTTCACACGCGTCACTCGCATCACACACGTCACTCACGTCACTCACTTCACACGCGTCACACACGTCAATCACGTCACTCGCATCACACACGTCACTCACTTCACACGCGTCACACACGTCAATCACGTCACTCGCATCACACACGTCACTCACGTCACTCACTTCACACGCGTCACACACGTCAATCACGTCACTCGGGTCACACACGTCCCTCACGTCACACACTTCACACACGTCACACACGTCACTCACTTCACACGCGTCACTCACTTCACGCGCGTCACTCGCGTCACACACGTCACACACGTCCCTCACGTCACTCACGTCACACACGTCCCTCACGTCACACCTAGCCCTAGCCCTAACCCTTAAAGCATAGTGCTGACCTCTGACCTCTGATTCACAGGCAGCGCTCTGTGGAAGATCATATGAAGGAAGCCAAAAAACTGAAGCACAAAGCAGATGCTACGGTGTTTATAAAGCCTTTGACCCCCCCCACCCCCCCTGACCCCCAACCCCCAACCCCTGTACGGTGACGATGTTTCTCGATGTTTCTCAGCTGGATAAGATGGCTAAAGCGCTCTGCTATCTGGAGGCTGCACTGGCGTTTGTGGAGAGTGCCATCGCCATGGAGACGGAGCCGGAGACGCCCAAATCTGCCTACACCATGTTCTCCGAGACGCTTGATCTGATCAGGTGTGAAGTTCACTTCACTTCAAGCTTATTTGTATTGTGCTTTTCAGAAAATGTTTGTTTCATTGTTATAGTTAGGGCTGCAGCTATCGATTCTTTTTGTAATCGATTAATCTAGCACTTAATCAATCGATTAATCGAGTAATCGGATAAATTTTTTTGTGTGTTTTTAAACAACCAAAACACATAATGCATAACGAAAATGATGTGGCTGTAAAATGATCAAGCATTTGGCTTTTATAAAAAAAAAACAAAAAAAAAAACTGGTATTTATTCCAACTCCAACATTTGGCTCCAAAACTAAGCCTATTTATTGCAATTTTTACCCATTTAGTAGAAGTGCCAACAATGTTCTATGCTCAATTATTTTGGTAGCCGATTAAAATGTCTTCCCCAAAAGTACGAGTGGATTTGGAGAAGCAGGCTGGGGAATTTCATTTTTTGTTGTCTGTAACTATTTGGAAGACGTGACATACAAACAAGGCCTCGCAAAGACTGCAATACAATATTTGTTCCTCCATCACGTCATCATGCTGAAATTATTGTTGCGTGGCTACATAATTGCATTGCCGCAATTGATCTGACTGGCGCGTGAGAGAGAGGGTGCATGCGTGCGTGTGTGTGAAGGGGTTCTTTTTTTAGGCTATACTCTCTTGCAATTGAACGTGAATACGTTTACTACTTAAAAACATCAAAGCTAAACATCATATCTAGTCAAACCGCATCCCGACATCGCTACAAATTCAGTATGGGATTAAAATCAGCGAACATCAATGTATCATAGTGTTACTACTGGCTCTCAGATAGTAACAAAGAAAGGCAGGAGAAAGTTAGGCAAACAAATGTCTAAGGATTTATTTGTTAACTCCAAAAGTTTACATTTGCATACAAACAACAATTCAAACACCGAACAAAGCCGGTCTCTCCCGCCTCCTCTAGCCACACCCAAGCCTTTTTTATGCCATCAGCTGGGACACGCCTCGCGCGCCGGCATCCCCATCAATTAAGCACAGGAAGTAACCTAGGATAACAACAAGACACGAAACAGAAGAAATACAGACAATCGCTGGATGTAACACATAGGCTTATGGCGTGTTCACACCGAACGCAAATTTAATTATTTGCGCGAGTAGATTACATACAAAGTCAATGCAAAGACGCGAATAGACGCATCATTTGCGCTGGGCGTCGAGACTGACGTGAATTGGGCTACGCATTTGCCGCGAACGTCTTCCGCGCAAGTTGAAAAATTTGAACTCGAGCGAATGTTCAAGCGTCTAACTAGACGCGATAAACACGTATTTGACGCTCTATCCGCGTTCGGTGTGAACACCATTAGTTTACCTTTTGTTTCAGCGACGCTTGGTGAGACAGCATTGAGTGGATGTTTTCGGTTCAGATGCTGAATCATTGAAGTCGTACTGTTGTAGACACATTGCACCTTGTTCTCTTCCTTTTTAAGTATGTAATGATCCCAAACTTTAGACATTCTCTGCCATTTATGGACATCTTTACTCTCCGCCATCGCGCCAACTAAATTCAAAATGTATCACGCGCTATAGTATAGATCCCTGCGCGTATAGTGCGCGTCATAGGAATTTAACGAGGCTTCGAGGCAGAGTTTTTGCCTCGAGGAATTTTTGTAATCGAGTTAACCCTCTGGGGACCAGAGTGTTTTTGGGGCCCTTTGGATGTTTTGACATGCTCTGACATTTGTGCTTTTTTCAGTTGCTTATAAACATATTAATGGCACAGGTGAAATTAAACTCTATTTAGCACAAACAGGTCTACCATAATGTGTGAGCAACATGTATGTACATGTTTGTATTATGCGTGGTTATTGAAAAAACTAAAAAATAAAGTTTTTGAAATAAGGACACAAAAAACATACTAAATATGAGTCCACAAGACTTTTGACTAATGTACGTTGTTGCCTAGAGTTTTTGCTTCAAAATGATCTGAAAATCATCCTTCCTAATCATTCACATAAAACAATAGATTGTTTTAAATTGTGAAAAACATTTTTTTGTTTGCCAAGGCAATATGCGGATGGGCGGAACGGCCCAACCCCTATCATGAATAATTAAGTGGTTCTCAGACAGTGACCCTGCATAATAATGAGCCTTTCATTCAGGGGTGTCACACAAGAAAGAATGTAAGGACAATATATATATATATATATATATATATATATATATATATATATTGTCATTGCATTCTTTCTTGTATATATATATATAGCCTACATGTATATATATATATATATATATATATATTTTGTCATTGCATTCTTTCTTGTATATATATATATAACCTACATGTGTATATATATATATATATATATATATATATACACACACACACACACACACAAACACACACATATATATATATATATACAAACAATCAAAATATAAATGAAAGCCAGAAGCACATTTTTAGTCATACCTGGAAACAAATCCTGGTCAAATGCTATATGGGCCATTCTACAGAATTGGTTCAAAGTTACAGTTGGAAACATCTTGAAAAGAAAATAGTCTTTTCCCATAAATGTCTTATAAAGTATTATTTTTTAAAGTAGACCAATACAATAAAAATAAACCAGTCGCATTTCAAAGTCGCTCGCGAAATGACCGCCAGGTGGCGCAAAGGGACATTTATCAAAACGTAAGTGGGGCTAATGTCAATTAACAACAGTAAGGATGAAATTCTACAAGTTATGGTAATTTACAAATAAGCCTACAACAAACATTTATTTTTAAACAAATATTTTTAAATATGCAACATGCACGTTTAAACAACAAACAATACAATCTGAACCAGCGCTTCCTGTATTGAGACATGCAGCGCGTTTCAGTTACGATCCTGGTTCCAGTGGCCTTAATACATTCACGGCTTTTTAAAATGTCACAAAGCGTTTTGAGATGGTTTTGAATGAAATATTGAAGTTTATAATTAGGGTATTTTGGCACACCACGCCGAGTGGCTATGCATTATTCTAAAATCTGGCTTTATTCTGGCATGTTGAATTAGAGTTTGACAAACGCGGCGGCGCGTTCATTTGGATTTATTTTTCTCATAACAGCTAAAAGAACTTACTGCGTAATTGTTGGTCATACAGATAAGATATCATCTTTTAAAACTGTAAAAGGTCTACTTTTATTCATGTAGGTAGGCTAAAGTAGGCCTACACTCACACAGGCTAACGACAAAACGTTTTCTCGCTCATGTGAGAAACAAACGTTTGGGCATTTCTCAGTGAGAAAATTAATAGCCGAGCGGTAGAACTTACGGTTCATCATCAAGATGACACGGGTTCAAATCCCGATTAAACATGGTCTACTGCAAATTTTATATTTATTAATGCAGAGAGATTTGTCTAGCTCTAAAACTCTGTTACGCCATACAGTTTTTTGGTTATATTTATAAAATAAAATTACCATGCATTTCCATTTTACACTAGGAACAATAGTATCGAACACAACGACACTGCATCTGTACCAATCGTACGAGGCTACCAATCGTAATTTCAAAAGCAGTTCTGTAAAAAAAGTAATTTTACATATATAGCCTATATATATATATTTTTTTTTTATTAGGCCTATTATTATTATTATTATTTTGATTCCCTACAACCTAGAGTTTTTAAAAACATGGTTTTAAGTAAAGTGTGATTTGCCAGAGGGGACGGGGATTTCCTTCTGGTCTAAACATCCCTGCTTCTGCTGAATTATTTGAATCCCCACACCCCTCCCTCCACAGTAATCAATGCTATAGGCTACTTCACCAATAGACCATATCAAATATAAAATAGAGATATGCAACAAGCACGTTTAAACAACGACAAACAATAAAATCAAAACCAGCGTTTCAGTTGTTCATTAGTTCAAGTGGCCTTAATGCATGCACGGCTTTTCAAAATTTTACAAAGCGTGTTGAGATTATTTTGAATGAAATATTGAAGTTTATAATTAAGTGTTTTGGCAGACCACGCCGAGTGGCCCTATGCATTTTTCTAAAGTCGGGTTTTATTCGAACTTTTGCTAACGACAAAAACAGTTTATCTGTCGTCTCTGTCTCCGGGAACTGCGCGTCACAAAAATGAACCGAAAGCCACTTCAGCTCAGTCACTATAAGAAATCGGCTCTGTCTAAAGCCTTTAAATGTCTAAATATTCTGGCTAATAAATGTTATCTGATTATGTAATCCATATGAAAACGAGAGGTACAGAGGATGTACTCAAACATGTAGCCTGTAAGCGCTTCCCAATGAGAAAATGACAAGGGTGAAAATCTCGCTCTAATTAAATGTAGCAGGCTAAATCGCCCTGAATTAAAATGTAAAAACAGATCAAATAATGTATTTGTCGAAATGTTGCGATATTGTTTCATTTAAGTTCATAATTATTCAATACATGTTATTTAATTTAGCAGCATTACCACAAAGCACCGTGGTTCGATATTTATTTGAATAAAAAAATAAAAAATAAAAAACTTAATTCACAAATTGCATGCCTGGTTGAAAGGATCCAAAGATCCATGTAGACTTTAATATTGAGTTGAACATTTTGTTCATGAAAACAAATTAACATGCGTTTTTTTCAGATTATATTTAGTTTTGCTTGGAAAAAGCTGGCCCAAACCAGTTTTATTTCATCAATTACTGAAATAATGAAATATTTAGTAATAAACTTTTATGACAGAAATATCACTAGGCTACATGTAACTAAATCATTTAATTCCTTCATTATCAACACTGTCTAGAATAGCGATTTAAGTGTGAATTGCGACTTCTCTTTGTGTTAAGTCAGCCTCAGACTCCGATAGCCTGTGGGGGGTTGGAGGGACAGTTCAGTGCTGTATCGAGCGCGCAGGACAATAGGCATAGGTGTTAATGTTCCTCTTTCATATGGAGAGCGAGGGAGACTAAATAAACTTGTTAAAAAGAGATTCAGCGCGAGAGAGGCAAAGAAAAACGCATGTTTTAATTTAATTATGTTGCTT